TATATATAATATATATATATATAATATATATATATATATATATGATCAGATAACAGTCATTCATAAACACTGGTGTCCCCTTGAACTCCAGAGGGGATAAACCACACAAGCCACAGTACCCCATGGTAGTTCCAATCAACCAAACTGACAGACCGTGTTTTACTGATGTTTGGAAAATACAAATTGAATATACATCCCGACATACCACACTTGAACGGACATAGCACTCAATAATATCGGGTCTGGTACTGAGCTAAACGGACGGAGCTTTCAAAGCTGTATCGATAAAGTCCAAGTCCTAAAACCATAAGATAAGCAAACAAGGCCTCGTATTAATAGTTGAACCAATAAGTTCTAACAACTGTAGAAACAGGAGCTTCGGAATCAGATAATCACGCTATCATCACCAACGATCCGGAGCTTCGGAATCAGATAATCACGCTATCATCACCAAAGATCCGAAAAAACGGTTGATTGCCTTTCTACCTGTATTGCTCAACACCCTAAGACGTCGATAGACAGATGAGGACAACGGAGTAATTCCCGAAATAAGTATGATCCATACTCAAAGATGTGAGTAGTTTACTCCCTTAGCGTCAGCAGATGATCAATCATGGAATCTCCACACCTGATCATATATCTTCGAATAAAAGTGACACGTAGGCCACCTGCAGAAAACGCCTTCGGGGTCTCAACTGTAACGGTCATAACTTGGAACTACCGACTTCGGGGTTCGTGCAGTTTAAGGAAACTCTGAATAAACCGAATCTTTTCCAAGAAAACGAACTCAGAGCTTCAAAAAAGCCCCTTCCGTGTTTGGAGAGCCGCAGTCACAAGCAGAAGGGCCAGTTGAACAGGCGATAATGTGGAACCAAATGTGTACATAATAAGGGGCGGGTCGCAGTTTCAATGGAAACACGTTACAAGAAGACTAGTACTTACAAAAGGTAGTTTGGGTATTGTTCCGTGGGTGTGGATGTCAGTGACAGCCTGGATGGGAAGCGCTCATTCGGCGTGCAGTTGTAGTGCGCATTTGGTGTCCGGTTTCGGTTGTACATAATCCAAGGGTGTCCGCAATGCTTGGCTGGAACAATTGTTACGAAGAGCTACTCGCTACCAACATCTACAACAGAGAATTAAGTTCAGTTAATCGTAGAGTCGATAAGTGACAAGCACAGAATCTGTTTCACGTAGGACTGAAGATTAAAAGTGCAGACGATAAAGAAAAACTTGTACTGCGAAGATGAAATCACAAAGCTGCTTGAGATCATCAGGCACACAAAGCAAAGGGGTGACCAACACAGCTGTGACCTGGGCGTTGGTGTAACTTGGTACTGAACGATCCCAATCATATGTTGTAGAAGATCCTGTAGAAATGATACCACGAAATTATTTTTGTCGACGACCACGAGTTGGCGCCGTTACACGGTTGAGAAAATAATTATTTCGAGGCTGATAAGAAATACCATTCAGGGAGAATGTTACGTGAATGTTACGAGAATGCTACGTGACAAAAGCCTGATGTAACTTGTCGGGCTTAAAAGTCAGAGAGAGAAAGGAAGTGTTGACACTGATACCTCACACTTCAAAATTCTGACCAACAGTGCGGCGAGGTGGGGGTCATTCTCCTAGTCTCCAGCGCAGGGCCGTTGGTCCCAGCCCGGACTGAAGCCAAAGACGTAGAACGGTAACCTGCATGGCTGCGGGTGGTGGCTTAGCCAGAAGGAGCGGAGAGCAAGATTATGTCTGATTGCCGATGCTGCTGCACACAACAGATGCATTCCAAACCGCATCGGGCTCTTGACAAAGAGTATTTGTTTCTTGGTCGTACCAAATATTTCATCGGCGGTCACCGATAAACAATAGCGATTAGTGTGCGGTTTTCAGGGCTAATAATTTCTATTCTGTCCTTCCTCGGCGGAATTGGCGCCGCTAAAAATATGAAACAGTGGCAACGCAGAAAAAACGCCTCACTTTGCACATACCCCTATCGCCAAGAACAGCGCAACTTTCTCCCCAGGCAGCTTCAATACAATATATCGCGGAACAAGAGCTCACTGGTCCTTTTCAGGGTGTTCCGCGTGAACTTTGGTAGCTTCTCGATGACTCTTGTGTTTGACAAGCTTACAAGCAAATCAGTCCTCCTGTTTCCTTCGGACCAAGTGACATCCATAGATCGGAACTGTCACATATCCACGGTTGAAAAGTATAGATAGATCTTGAAGAACGATGTCCCATATGTAGCCCACTGGAGCGACACGGTACCCGAAACAGAAAACAAAGCAAACTGACACTTATCTAGGTGACACGACGCGATTGTATACTTTCGCGATTGGTAGACGCCGGTCAAATGGACTAATTACGTGGTATCACTAGGGTCTATCTTAAGCTTTTTAAGACAATTCTTTTGGGACAATTCTACCACACCAAACCTCCATGATGTTCTGCCATGCGCTGTTCTCTCTTTCAGCCGACGTAGTTCTTTCACGTTTTAGCCAAATGCTGCGGATTACCATCTTTACAGGGACAGCCTCGAATATGCACTCCCCCCCATCCGAGGACCACTTGGGTAAATGGTAAAAAAAGCCCTAGACGTCCCACTGAGTAAGCTGACACGGTGTGTGCTCATAAAGGAACAAGTCGTTCATCAATTCGCGCTTGCAACCACCGGTCAAAGGTAAACACACCGTCAAGGATAACCAAGTTACTGGAGGAACGAAAAGTCCCCGAGCCGATACATGGCACGCACGTATCAGCATTTCCTATAACTTCTTCGGTTCTAATTGAGAACTTAAGTTCTTATTACGCCAGATGTCTCTGACGCAGTGATCTCGACAGGCGGGTGCCCCATTTTCCGAGCCGACTCGAAACGCGGGAGGGCGTGTGGAGTTGCTTTATGCTCACATATGACCCTGACCATCCCAATTGTCCCCTTCGACACCACTCATGCACCTTTTTGTGATGCACTGTAGATTCAAATCCCGCTGCATGTGACGGATTCTCTTCTTATCGGCGTGGGCTACCGATTCTCTCTCCGGAGGATGACCAGTTCCTCATGCAAACCCTTGATCACCTTTCCTCTAGCTACAACTTCACAAATCTCCTGTTGGTAGGTGATTTTACCGCTACCAAGGCCTCCTAGATGGAGCTACAGAGCATCAGGTCTCACACACAACACAACCATTCAGCTGTAGCACCCTTTCGGTGTCACCAGAAGGAAGCAATAGGGCTGGGGCGTTGTCAGTTTGCCCAAGCGTAGATAGTGGAAATCAAGAGGCAAATGTCGGATTCGAACTACGGACCTTCCGGTCAGTAGATTCACGCTCTAAACACTGAGCCACAGAGTCTAGCGGATAGTCTGCAACAGCGCCGACCAAAATTGTTCAACAGGGCGCTTGAACTCAACATGGCTTCGCAAACACCAGACACCGCGCTGGCCAGCAATCATCTCTGTTGGATTTGGTTATCACCAAAGAAAAACACTTCATTGCTGGATTGCTAATCAAGGCCTTATTGGGGTATAGTGACCACTGTGCTGGCCGGAACCCCAAACGTGGATTCCAGACCACTGCCGTGCAAACTTCTCCAAAACGTGTAGCTTCGTTGATCAATTTAAACTGAGGCCAACTTCAGTCTAACAGTTGTACAGAACCACTGTCCACAAAACTCACGACGCAGACGCAATTTTGTTCACACAAAAAACCAGCATGCAATCCGCTGGACCAAAAGCTACCTAAGAGAATTCGACGTTTTCAGGAAAAGAGGTCCCAATTACTTTCCACAAAGATAATTATGCGTGACATAGAAGAAGAGCTGGTAGTTCGTAAAATGCGGGACCGCTGTAAACAAAAGATCCGTCAATGGAACGTACGAAAACAAGCCACGATACTAAGCCTTACCCGGAAAAACAAAAATGTTCTATTTAAGTACATGAGGTACCGCCGAAAAATCAATCAATTTATCAGCTATAAACCGTGTGCCATAGGGACATTGGTTTCAGCTGCTACAGTTTCGGTCACCAGAAAACCGGAAAGTGAAACACACAACCAAGCTTTGGGGCGAAGGCATATTCAGTTTGTTCAGAAATCGGGTAACGGCGCACTTCAGGAGAGTGCCACCGGTTGCGCGATTGGGCCATTTCAGCCAGTCATTAACCAATGGCGAGCTGAGTCCCCAGGTCCCCATTCAGGGGGCAGCAAATATCCACCCGACTGAGTTTACTGGTTAGTGATTTTGTACTTCGTTGCCAAGTTGTCAGGCGGAATTCCACACAGACCCCGTTTTGCCGCTCGCAGTCGGGTGCTGCTACGGCCGAGAAGACTAACCCACGCAACATTGGTCAAAATATCGGGGCGCTTGCCGGTCCGGCACCAAACCGGGATCTGATTGGTCGAAAGTCTGGACCCAACAGCTAACCATAACACAGTATTGGCCGAATGCCGGTTGTCAATGGAGCATCCCGAATACGTCAGAACTTCCAGAAAAGGTTTCTGCTTACGTTATACATACGATGCGCTGCACACGTCTTGACTTCGTTTTGGGCGTTAGTATACCTGTGCACCTTTGGTGGTTGTTATCACGCGAACGCTAGCTTGGGGGCTCAGACCGAAAATTAAGCTGAGAATAAACCGTTACAAAGCGGGTCATACACTGTGTACCTGTCGGTTGCTTTCACCAAGCACACGGCTAGGGGGAAAGAGCTCTGAGAGGCAGACGGTCCTCTGAAATGCGGAGTACTTATCCCAACAAGCGTGACACATGAGGGGAGTAAATCATCTATTGCGAGAAGGTTCCTTCTTAATAAGACCATCTGATGTAACTCAGCACCACCAGTCCAATGTTCCCACCGGGCCTGACCGAAGCTTCGGAGACACCGATTATCAAACACCGACGCCTTACGTATGTCCCCAGCGCGTGGGGGCCACGTCACTGATCCATAAAGCAATATGGATCGCACCACCACGGCGTAAACTCTTCCCTTGACAGACAAACCCACGTCACCTAGGAGCCACAGGTGTCGGAGGTTGGCATAAGCTACCCTGGCCTTTCCGATTTGGTAAATAATCTCATATCCAGCCGGTCCTCTGGGACTTATACAGCTGCCCAGGCTCACCCACAGGTATGAGGTGTGGGTCTGGTCCCACCCAGTCTTGCTGTAGCACCTTGCAATTTGCAGGTGGGAAGTGCATACAAAACCGTGTAGCAGATATATTTGAGCTGTTTTAAATCGTTTGGATTTGGGAAGGATCTGAACCAAGAAGAGCGAAATCGCATACACTGCCTTCATAAGGGAGAGAAAATTGGAGGGAAAACCTCCGATCGCCAGGCACTATCAACGTTACTAACTGTAGTTCTTCCGAAATAATTCATCAAATTTGGGCATTCATATCACCGGCCGGGACTACCGTATTCGTGCTCACTACTGATCGAAGTAGTAGTGACGGATCTTGACAGAACTCATCCTCCTCAGTCTCAGAACTGCTATATGTTGCAGCGTATGCCAATATGACAAACGAACAACGTTCACCGCATCAATCTGCGTTAATCTCAATTGAGCCAGAAAACCGACCAGCGCAATGTCGGCGTTTTACTCTGATTTGTTCCAGCAAGGCGCTTTTAGCCTTGAGGCTGAATGCAGCTCTCATACCGTAGGTACTTCGAGTCATCGCGTCAGGATTACCAGTTGTCCAAAGAGTGAAATGTGCAAAATCTGAGCTCGTCATAAGCTGTTTAAGTCACACGACCCAAGTGAGGTTTTATGTGCGTTTTTCGGAGGCACAACATACATCGTTAAATGATGAAGTAAGCTTTCAGCAAGGGACGCCTGTTTCCCAATTTGACTTGAAGTGTGGACAATAAACTCCCCAACGTGGATCAGAGCTTTTGAGGTCAGTAGGTGATTATTTTGGCTTATTCTTCTGGGCGATTGCTGAGACACAGCAGTGGTTAGGGGCTTGGCAGTTGGGTTGATCGTCCTGCGTTGTACGATGGGTTGAGAGAGAATGAGGTGGAAGTCTGGTGAGCGAAGAAATAGGAAAGCAAATGGTACTTCTCGGTTGCCCAGGCCGAAGAAGGGGGTTTATCTGGAGAAACTCACTCTGAGTCTTAGACTCAAAAGTCTGACCCACAAGGTAATGGATATCGCGTTGTGTTCGGGAGCCCAGCCCCTAGCCCCTAGCTCGGAAGTCTGAACCGTGGGGCAGCTATTGTTGAGGTTTTCTTGAAGGACTCCTCCCAGTCAATGACTTAGTAGTCTGACCTACTTGTCTGTGGGAGGCGGTCTAGTCCGAGGGCGCAGGAGTAGGGCATTACTCTCTGGCTCCTGTGGCAGCTGCGCAGGTGCCTTTCCAGGAGTAGGTACTCTCTGGCTCCTGTGGCAGCTGCGCAGGTGCCTTTCGAGCAGCACTGGGCTCTGGTTTTAAAAGATTTTCGACTATATATACTAAAGCGCTGGCGGTCATGGTCAACCGTTAGGCGATCAGAGTGTGCGGTTCTCAGGGTTGAGCCCGGGGAAGGCAAAACGCTGCTCCAAAGGATACGGACATGTTGTTCACAGGGCGGAAATATCTTACTGCCTTCACACTTGTGACGCAAGGGACAGTACGACTCTGCCTCCAGGCTGCCTCGTGATACAATTACTCACGGTACGGGAACTCGCCTCGCTGTTCCGTGCTGCTCTCGTTGGCCTTTCTGGAGTGGTTGAACCTTTTGAAACTGAGCTCCACACACTATAGCCCACAAATTTATTTTATTGCAGCAGCCAGACCACCACGACTGGGTGACAGGAATGTGTCGGGTACCGCCGAAGAAATAAAGTAGACACCTCCCTGAGGGATGGAATCGACGAACCCATGAGTGACCTGATAGTGTTACCTAAGATCTACAAAGAACACTATGCATATCTGTATGCCGCCCCACCTACCTCGTCACACACAAGCCTTCCAGGACGTGACTACGAACGACCACTCTCCGGCACAGTCTTCGCGTAGGATCTTCATTAACCCAAACACAAGGTAAGCCCTTTCCACGCTTGGGGGCAAGACGAATTCCATCCAAGAATCTCAGGGGAAACGTCGCTCACACTGGCAAAAGTTCCTACCCGGTGTTTTGTCTCTCACTCAACAATGGCAACCTTCACTCAAGTCGGAAGAGGGCGATTGTGAGGCCAGCATACAAGAATGCTGATGGCAGGTAGAGACCTATTAGACTCACTAATGTACCGTGCAAGGT